AACCCATCCATTTTACAGATGCCGACACCAAGGCCCAGCCTCCCGGGCGCCCTGCCGTGGAACTGGAAGATACCCGCTCGCCCTCCGGCTGCCGTCATTACCTCACCCAGACTCCGAGCACACCCGTCCCCACCCTCCTCCTCCCTTTGCTGGTTGGAGGCAGGAGCTGGGCCTCAGTTTCTTGATCTGTACTGGAGACAGCAGGCTCCTGGGAACCATCCCACCTACAGGGCTTCTACCTGCCATGGTTTGCACTAAGCACTGACGGGTTTTTTAAAACTATGCACTGAGCACCTATATTATCCCATTTCATTCCCTGCAAGGGGAAAGCCATTGTCTGCATCTTCCATCTGATGACACTGGGGGTCAGAGACGAAGCAGCAGATCCAGCTGGGTTGCCCAGCCAGTGGACAGTGGGGCCAGGACGGCTCCAACGGGCAGAGTCCAAGCTTGCCTTGACTCCTGTTGGCCATCGTTCTCGATGGGAGGCTGTTCGCAGATGCTCTGGACATCGGGGAAGAGGCTTTCCTTCCCTCAAATAGAAAGCGATCCTGGATGGGGGGCTGGGAGGAGGCCTCAGCGTGGCCAAGGGGAGCAGGCTGCTACCCTGTCCTGGGGGAGAAGGTCAGGCCGCAGGAAGTCAGGCGGAGACAGAAGGGGGGTGGGGGGTGGAGTGCTGGCCAAGGATCCCTGGGCGGGCGGGCAGCCCTGGACGCCCTTCCAGGGCAGGACAACGTCAGCAAGACCTCAGGCCCCAGAGGGAGTGGCCTGGAGCTCAAGGAGCCAAACTTTCCATGAGCCATGGGCAAAAAATGAGTCTGGAGAAGAGTGTCCACCGCAAAACCGTAGGCTCAGCAACCCAGGGTCACGTGAAATTCAGAGGGGCTGGGGCGGTCTTAACTCTTTGGTGGCTGTCCCTAGAGCCACCAACACACTGCTTGGAGTTGCTGCTGTGTTGTGCAAAATTGTGTACGGGCTCTGTGGGTCCCCAAGGCCGCAGAGCCAGGGAGGGGCCGAGCTGGGAATGAACCCAGTTCTGTGTGGCTGAGCAACACGAGCCCCCCACCATGATGCCTTGCCGTGGCCCCAGGTGCTCTGGGGTCCGGGGAGAGTGCTAGAAGTGTCTTAACTGCACAGAAATGAAGGGGGTTGTCTCTGGAGGCCGTGAGCGTCCCATGCAGGCTGAGCTGGGCTGTCACAGCTCACCAGGTGTAGGGCTGAGCCAGGCTCCCTGAAGACTCCAGGAGCCCACACCCGGTGGGGAATGGAGGGCGTGTGGAGGACAGACCTAAAAAGATGAACGGGAGTCCCATAGGTGGATGGGGAAGACCCTGGAGCTGGAGGCCTGGGCCTACTCAGGGTATCGTACGAGGTGAACCTGGCTGGGGTGGTAAAGGGGAACACACGGGGCGGGGCCTACTGAGAACCAAACACAAGGTAAGTGTGATCCCAGTGTTGTCTGTTGACCCTGACTTGACCTTGGGACTATGGCTCACCGTAATGGTGTGGAGCCCTCTCCCCTGCCGTCTCCTGCTCCCCTTCCTCCCCCAGCCTCCCAGATATTTGCTCTCACAGATCATAGACTAGAAGTGACTATGGGGGGGTCAGTGCCCCATCTCAGTGCTTCCCAGTGCCCCCCAAGAGAACACCATCTCTGATGAATCCTAGAACATTCCTGGAACAGGAATAAAGGGCCCCCGGTCATCCTCTCCACACCTGAGCCAAGCACAGATGCTGCCTCCCAGCCCCCTCCCCCCACCCCAGCCTCCCCAGGTCAGGGGGCCGTGGGCACAGAGAGCAGCTGAGAAGGGGAGCAGAGCACTGAGCAGGGGTGGGGACCCCGGGCCTGGCCTCAGCTCCGGTACATTCTCACCATGGGCCATGGTCCTGCTAATCCCCAGCCTCTGCAGAGCAGTGGGCCTGCCAGCCACCCGAACGGAGCCGTGCTGTTTCACTGCTTTTCAATCAGTTGCTCGTGTTGAAAAATGGGAAATTTCTCACAAAAATCCAAACTTCCAACTTCTCTTAAAAAGCTGGGGTATCTGGCAACCTGGGCCCATCCTTGGGAGGGGCAGCCTCCCCTGAAGAGAGCCATGTTTTCTTCTCTAGTGCACCATGGTCCCCCCGCCCCCCCCCCCCACTCATCTCTGCCACACCCTCTGGGGGCCAGTCACCACCTACTCTCCCACTCACCCTTCCGGCTTCGCTCACCTGGCTGTTCTGCCTGGCTCTGCGGGCACTGGGCTTGTCCACTGCTAGGGCATTCTAGGATTCCAGGCGGGGGTTCTACTCCAAACAGGGCGGATGTCTTCCTTGAGCTGTCCACTATGCTGCCATGGGTTCCTTCAATCGGTTCCCACTGCCGTCGGGCCTGGCTGGGGGTCTGTTCTGAACCAGGGCGACCTGAGGTCAATAAAGGGACGGGGATGGGGGCTGTTGGGAGGTGGCAGAGGCGGGAGAAGGGTGAAGTGGCAGGACAGCCTGTCTGGGAGCAGCAGAAGTGGGAAAAGCAGAAGATGGGAAGATGGAGCCGGGGAGGACAGACCAGGAACCTCGGGCCCGGGTGCTGAGGTGGTGAGCGAGCGCAAGAGCAGTCGGAGGAAGCAAGGCAGGGCAAGTGAGGCAGGGGGAGGTGAAGCTGGTGGGCTCCCTAGGCTCGTAGAATCCTCTAATTGCAGACTGGGCCTCTGGGAGAAGAGAAGCCCAGACTTCTAGGATCACCCACTCCAGACTCCCAGGACCCCAGGCTGCAGCCAAGAGGTTGGGTGAGGAGTCCTCACAAGACCATGGCCCCGGGGTGGGGGCTGGGGAGGCTGGGGCCTGTCCTAGAGGGAGTCTGGAGGGCCTGGAGAGGGCTTCCTCCTGAGGTGGCGCCAGGGGCTCTGTGAGCAAGGCTGGAGCCTGCCCCCGGGGTGGGGGAAGAGGCACCTTGAATTGTGAAGGCCATTCTTGAACCCTCAGCAAATTAGCAAACCCATGCTCTTCCTCCATCTAGAGCCCCAAACAAAGAGGGGCAGGAGGGGGCCTGGCCCTTTGTTAGGGGAAATTTATTAATATCCGAAATATGCCGCAGCCCTTTCTCTCCACCCGCAATCAAAGCCTTCACGAACACCTGGGCCTCGCATTTGAAAGGCCCTAGGGCTCTTTTATGCAGCCAGGTCCTGCCAGGAGGGGGTGGGTAGCACCAGGAAATCCTTCCAGCCCCAGCTGCACCTGCTGGTAAGGCCGAGAACAGCTGGAGCTGGGGAGGGGAGCTCAGCTGGGTAACCTTGAGCCAGTCTTCCCCTTGAAGGGCCTCAGTTTATCCGTATATGTACCGGGGGCTGAGTGGCTTCCTCATCTTCACCGCCCTTCCTCAACCCCGCCCCCGCCCCCCGCCCCCCACCCCCCGGCCAGTGCCACAGAAAAATGGGACAGCAAGTGTCAGAAGCCGGGAGAGCCAAGCCTCAGTTCCCTCATCCGTCCAACAGAAGCTGGAAAACCCTGTGCTGCCCACCCCCAGGTTCTCAGCAGTAAGGAGAAGGGGTAAGAAGGATGACCTCATTGGTGTTTATTAACAATAAACCAACAGAACATGGACGGGCTGGGGAGATGGCAGGAGAGAGAGGGCACACAGGCCGGCCCAGCTGCATGAGGGTGCCCTGCCCCCCCCGGGGGGGCACGTTTTCACACTCCACCCTCATTTCTCAGGGAAGTAGGGACCCCAGGGCAGCCCCTCCCGTGCCTGGGACTGACGACACCGAGGCCTCTGGCCACAGGCCTGAGGTGTTGGCTGCCCTTGGCCCCCTGCCTCCACCCTCATGACCGGGCCCAGCATCAGGACAGCCAGCCATGTGTGCGGACCACCTCCAAGCCTCTTAGTTGCCTTGGCAGGTCCACAGCCAAGGCCAATCTTCCGGCAGTGCCTGGAGGTGCAGGAGACAGTGAGCGCTGCCAGAACAGGGAGAAGAGAATGGAGGGGCTTTGGGTCCTGACTACGAGCCCTCACTGCCACCTCTTCACTTGTGTCCTCCGTCCTAATCATGCCCAGGGCTCCCTACACGGGAGGCCACAGGGTCCAGTGAGGAAAGCTGTGGGCCCTTCTCAGAAGTGTGGGTCAAAACAAAATGCATTAGTTTCTCTGGGGGAAATAAAAGTGTGGGGACCTCCTGCTTTCCCCACCCGCACCCCTCACTCAGGCCACCAGCCCCTCTTGCCTGCCCTCCACAGGCCTCCCACCTCCACCCTGTCCCCTCGCATCCACCCTGCACACGGACCCTGAGAGATACTCTCTCTAAAGCACAACCGGATCATGCAAACCCCTGCCCGCCCCTTGTCCCCTGCTCCCCCTCCCCCTCATGCGTCCTTCCCACCTGGACCCTGCTGTACCCTGGTAACACCTTGGTCTCTGCCCTGGGCTTCCGCGGGGGGGGGGGAGGCGAGCACAGGGGCTACACTGGGGCCTCCATACCCTGCCCCCTCCTCCTCTCTCCCTCCCAACTTGCCCAGCCTCCGGGGCCCTCGGACCCCACCTCCTCCAGAAAACCTGGCCCGGGGCACAGGAGCCCACAGGGCTTTTCTCCCACTGCACTTGCTAACCCTCGAGGCCTGGGGCCTTGGGGGCCTCGCCACGCCCTGAGCGTCCCCGCCCAGCTCGAGATTCAGGCTGTTTGGAGTGTGTGGGGGCAGGCTCTCCTAGAAAAGAGAGGAGGAGTCTGGGCCCTGAACAGAGGAGAGAATGATACCCACTGCCACATGAGAAAGGGAACTGGTTGGTCAGGCGGCCTGGGGTCCAGTGCCCTCCACCATGTGACCTCGGGCAAGTCCCTCTCCCTGGCCTCAGTTCACCCATCTGCACAGTGAGGACTGAGCTTTGAGTGGGTCTGTGTGCGTGTGGGGAGAAGGTAGACAGAGAGGAGAGGTCACGAGAAAGGACTTGCCCTGGGCACCGGCATCCCCGTGGCGACCTCCCATGGCCTCGGGCCTCTCGGAACCCCACAGGGCACGGCTAGCTTTTGCAGCCCGGCAGGGCCTCCTGGCCCCCAGCCTCCTGCCTCACATCATAGACTCCTCCTCTTCGGCGATCTCGCGGTCCACCTCGATGGCCGTGTTCTCGAAGCTGGTGATGCCCCCGTACTTGCGCATGTGCACCATCAGTGGCTTGGGCGACTGGCTCCCCGCTAGCGTGGCCACGTACATGCCAGTCCGGTTCTCCTCCAGCGACGGGCCCCAGTCCATGGCCGGCCGGCTGGCCTGCTGGAGCCGCTGTGGCAGAGCAAGGACAGTGGTGAAAACGGGGGGCGGCCAGCGCTCGTGGAGTGCTTCCTGTGACCGGGCACCCGGCAAAGACCTCACCACGTCCCCGGTGTCAGCCCTGGCAACAATCCCGGGGGGTGGGGGGTGGGGCCAGGGCAGTGGCACTTCCCCAGGGGAATGAGTCACATGCCCGGGTGAGAGTCCTGCTTGGCCACTCACAAGCCGGGTGGCCTTTGGGCATGGGATTTAAGCTTTCCATGCTCGGTTTCCCCCTCTGTCACTGGGGGATCGTGATGCCTTCGTAGGGTGGTCAGCAGGCACTGAGATGGAGCACTTAGAGGGGTGCTGGGAACAGGCTATGATTACATGCCAGCCAATCCAGGAGCCCACTCTGGGTCCTTTCCCCTAAATGCTGAGTCCTAAGCAGTGGGGAGCTTTGGGGAAGAGCCAGAAGCTGGGAGCACTGCAGCAAGGATTGTCTCTGACCCTCCAAGTGTCTCCCAGTCGGCCTCATTCTGACTCTGATGTCTGACCTTTCCCTCTCAAGCCCCAGTTTCCATGGAAGGAGGGAGGTGACTAAGATAATGACTAAGTCTGGACTATCTAGGGTTCCTCCCTTCCCAAACCACATTCCCAAAGCCCTATGCCTGCCCTGCAGAGAGAAGAGCCCCAGACCTTTGAAGGAGGATAGACGATCAACATTAAGTGGAGCCTACTAGGTGCAGATTCAAGGAGGATAATGTGTGCAGAGCCCTTAGCCTGGGACCCAGCATGGCTCCACACTCAAAGCATGGTGACGCTTACTGAACTGTTGTAGAGCATGTTACACCCCTGCTCAGAAACCTGCCCGTGGCTTGTCATTTTACTTGGAGTAAGACCCAAAGTGCCCACCATGGCCTCTATGTCTTGGGCCCTGTCTGCCTCCCTGACCTCAGCTCCTGACACTCTCTTTCCACCCACACCCACTCTGATCCAGTCTTGCTGACCTCCTTGCTGCCTTCAGACATGCCAGCCGCCTCCCCCGCCGCCGCCTCAGGACCTTTGCACTGATTGTCCTTCTGCCTGGAATGCTCTCCCCTTAGATATCTATATCGATCACCTTGTTGGTTCGGTCAGGTGTCTGTCACCCCCTCAGAGGTCTTCCCGGCCACCCTGGCCAAAATACTTTCCCATCATTCTCTAGTCCTAAACTTTGCCTTTGTTTCTTTTTTTTTTTTTTAATTATTTTTAAAATATAGCACTTACTACTACCTTTGTGTATTTGTTTGTTTATTGTCTGTCTCCCACATTAAAATCTAAGCTCCCTGAGAGCAAGCACTTAGATTCGTTCCCAACTGAACACTAGAGCCTAGACCAACGCTTCTCGACCTGAGTACTCCAGACATTTTGGCTGGAGAGTCCATGTGTAAGAGCTCTCTGCACACTGAGTGGGGTTTAACAGCATCCCAGCTCTCTCCGCACTGGAAGCCAGTTACCAACCCCTGTGCACACCATTCTATTATGACAAGCAAAATGCCTCCAGATGCTACCAAATGGCCTCCGAGAGCAAAATCACCCCCGTGAGAATCCCTGGTGTGGAACAAAACATTCACCGTGTTCCAGCTCTGTGCTAAGTGTGGGCTTCTTCGATCCTTACAGCGTGGGGCATTCGGACTTTCACCCTGCACCCCCACAGATATTATCTGGAAGTCAAGTTCAGCAAGGTTAGTCAACTTGGCCAAGGTCACACAGGTGACAAGTGGCAATGCTGGGATTTGAACCCAGGCAGTCTGACTCCATCCTAAACTTTTAAAACACTCTGTTTTTCTGCCCTTCACGGTTCTGACAACATTGATGAGCTTCTTTTCTTCTCACAGCAAGCCTTAGGGGAGGGATCACTGTCCTCACTTTAGGGACAGAGAAAAGCAAGGTTCAGAGAGGTACATTAACTGCTTAGGGTCACACAGCTGGCAAAAGGCAGACCCCGGATTCCTCCTAGGGTGTCAGTGCTGGAAGCCCTGGTCTCTGAAGGTCTCCAGAGCTGGGCAAGGACTCCTCTGCAGTGCTCCCCACCCAACAACACGGCCCTCAGCCTGGCTGTTGGTGGCTGTGGTAGCAGGGCAAGAGGGAAGCATAGCAAGGCTTGGGAACCATGAACTTGCAGAGGGCTGCAGCCCTCTACCCTGAGCAACACTGCTCTCCTCCTTTCCTTTGCAGACACGTTGGCTCTCAAGCAAGGATACACATTTCCTTTAGCAGCAAGGTGGGGCTCCCGAGGTTGAGAGAAGGCCAGGGGTTTGCTCCCAGGCACACACACAGCAGTGGCTGGACCCCAGGACCGCCCTGCAGGCTGGTGCTGTGGCCACAACCCACTTCTGCTGGGGAAAGGCTCTGAGACTTTCCAGGGGCAGATGTGAAGGTGGGATGAGGGACAGCTGAGGGCACAGTGCAGCTGTAGGGGGAGCGGGGGCAGCAGGGTGCTGGCAAGCAGGCTGGGGGCAGTGGTTGGAGGGGCGCGGGAGGCTTGATTTGTAGCCAATTCCAGTGGTATAAGTATTCCCACCAAGATCGATTTCAAACCAGCTCACAAGTTCCCTGAAAATTTAACAATTAGCTCTCATGAGCCAGTACCAGCTGGCTCCAGCATACTCCTGATGGGATCTATGGGGTATGGGTCGGGGTCCCTAGGCTCTCTCCTGGCCCTAGCAGGCTCACTCAGCTCTGCTCACTCTGACAACCTCCCCCCCCCAGAGGGACTCTGCTCACTCTGACAACCTCCCCCACCCAGAGGGACTCTGCTCACTCTGACAACCTCCCCCACCCAGAGGGACTCTGCTCACTCTGACAACCTGCCCCCCCCCAGAGGGACTCTGCTCACTCTGACAACCTCCCCCCGCCCAGAGGGACTCTGCTCACTCTGACAACCTCCCCCCACCAGAGGGACTCTGCTCACTCTGACAACCTCCCCCACCCAGAGGGACTCTGCTCACTCTGACAACCCCCCCCCGCCAGAGGGACTCTGCTCACTCTGACAACCTCCCCCCACCAGAGGGACTCTGCTCACTCTGACAACCTCCCCCCACCAGAGGACCCCCCCACCATGGCCTCAGAAGTGCAGAGAGTGCGGTGAGGCTCAGAGAGGGGCAGAACATTGCAGTGGTCACATAGCTTCACCGCACACTCACTGGTCCACTCTCCTCTTCTGAGACCCGCAGATCCCCATGCCCAACGAGCTGGCATTCTCTGTGCTTTCTGGATCTCCTCACAAAGCCTGGCGTGGGCAGGGCTCCCACCATCAGCGCATTCCCAGGTCACACATGGGCTGCAGCCCACCCTCGGGGGCTCTCGATCTTGACTTCTGACTATGAGTTCCCACAGGGAAGCTTTGGGCCAGTGACCAAAGTTCCAGGCCTGACCCCTGCCTGACTCACAGTAGGACCCTGGGCCATTCCCTTGTCCTCTCCCCGAGATATGTGGGCATTGGCCAACATCGGTGGTCTTGGGATTGTGCTCCCCCCTCAGAGGCCCCACGTGGTGCCAGGGGCCTCAGGGGAGGACCCTAAGCCCCCTGAGCCTGCCTCACCCCCAGCAGGTCTGAGAGGATTCATAGCTCAGGCTACTGGTTGGAAAAGCCTGTGAGGCCCTGGGTAAGGTGCTGGGGCAGATGTTTTCTGTTCTAGCAGGTGGGCGCTGGGCAGGGCCCCAGGTCAGGAAGGCCAGGGGCGGACAAGGGCCAGGCAGACTTACCTCCCAGAGCGAGCCCTCCTCCCGAAGCACAGCCACCAACATGCCGGCTGGGATCATAAGGCAGGACAGCAGGCCCATCAGGATGCCCAGCAGCTCTGCCCAGGCTGGGAAATGGTAGCTGCCATACTCTGAGGGCTGGTACTTGACGATGCTATACACCAGCAGGGCCTGCAGGCGGGGGCCCCAGCATCTCAGCGGGCTTTGGGCAGGCCCCAGGCTTAGGACAGCCCAGGTCTGAGCTACCTGAAGGCCTGAGAGAGCCCAGCCCAGAGCTACCCAGTGTCAGAGATAACCCAGTCCTAAGCTGTATAGAACCTGAGATGGTCCATCCTTGGAGCCTTTGTGAGGCCTGAGACAGCCCAGCTCTGAAGCACCCCGTTCCTGAGACAACCTGTGCCTGAACTCCAACTCCAAGGCCCAGAAAGCACAGACATGCACCAACACACCAGTCTAAAGCCCCAGCCTTAAGGCCCTGGTGCCTGGGAAAGCCCCACTCACTTTGCTACCAACACGTGGGGCTAGGCCCAGCACAGCTACAAAAGCTGGGGGCATTGAGGCGGAGGGGTGTAGACCCAGATCCTGGCGCCCACCCCCTCCTCGGCCCGGACAGAGGTCCACTCTGGGCCAGAGCAGACTTGCCAGACTGCATGTCCAGGGGGGGACCCTACTCTCAGCCCTGGGCCCCATCCCTCCTTCCCACCAGTTACCAGGAGTGTGGCCGGGGACAAGAACAGCCAGCAGGCCCTGAAGTAGAGGCCCGGCTTGAAGCCCAGCATCATGTGGATGTCCCGGCAGAACCTCTGGATGCCTGTACAGGGGAGGGAAGGAGAATGGCCCCACCAGCACCCCCCCACACACACATACACAAGCACCGGCAGCCCCTTCCCCCTCCATGCCACTGCCCCCACTGGAGACCCTGGCCCTTGGGACCCGGGACCCAGTGCAGAGGGGATCCAGAGTAGACTCCCATCCTCCCACCATGGGGAGCCTCACTCCCTCTCGCACGGCCCCTCTCACCGTACACCCGGGTGACGGCCAGGCACGTGGTGATCACCACCACCATGAGCCCGAAGCTGGCGCTGTAGTCGTCCAGAAGCACCAGCCAATACATGCCTCCCTAGAACACAAGCCATGACTCTGGGGTTCCCTCACCCCAGTCTTGCTCCCTGGTGCGAGCCCAGGCCAGCGGTGACAGCAAGACGATGACCGTGTGACCGCGGCCTACCTGCCGAGCCCTCTATACACATCATCTTATTGGAGCCTCACGACAAGCCTAGATGTAGACCCCATTTTATTGGTGGGAACACAGGCTGAGGAAGGGGAAGCCACTTGTCCTGAGGTCATCCGGTAAGTGGGAGAGCCAGGCTTGAAGCCAGGACTCTGGGCCATAAGCCAGGCTGCCCTTGGGGAGAGGGCCTGGGTTGGGCTAGCCTCCTCCCGAAGAGGAAGAAGCAGGTAGCCCAGGGGACAGTCATGGATACTGCTGCAGGCTCCCGGCCTCGCCTCCCCCGCCGGCTGCCCCCCGGCCCTGCAGTAGCACTCACATCGGTGGTGAGGACCAGCCCCATCAGGTACATGGCCACACAGATGAGCCCCGAGAACACAGCCTTCTTGGGCCGCAGGTAGTAGGGGAACTCGTCGGTCACAGCTGTCACGATGGTCTCCAGGAAGGCAAACTGGGGGCGGGGGAGGGTTGGAATTCTGCCTCCACCACACACACACACACACACACACGTGCACGGACACACAAACTCACACAGAGATACACCACACACACCACACACACACACACACACACACACACAGCTACGTCATACACACAGACACGTCACAGATGGACACACGCAGACGCACATTGCACACGGACGCACACAGATGCATACACATCGCACACACACCCCCCCCACAAGGTGCCCACTGACACAGACAACGCTCACCTGGCTATCCAAGCCAAGAGTCAGGAGCATAAAGAAGAAAAGGAAGGACCAGAAGGGCGACAGAGGCAGCATGGTCATGGCCTGTGGGTAGACGACAAAGGCCAGGCCAGGGCCTGGGCCAAGGGCACAAAGGGTCAGCAGCCTGGGGCACGAGGCAGGCCCCCACAGGCACACTCAAACACACATGGTCGCTTCCACGCACGTGGGCACACTAGTTAAGCAAAATGCAGAGATTCACCCTAACTGCACACTTCCAACACTTAACTCCTAGGACCCAGGCCAGTACGCTGTCAGTGCTCAATGAACACAGGTGGACAAAATAAATGAATTAATAATGAGTACAGGAAGAAACACAAGACTCAATATAAAACCTCATTTGAATACACTTAGGTATACCATCATTCACACAAACAACCCCACTAACACACACACACGTGGACATGTCCACTGCACAAGACACTGATTCGCATCATCATTTGAACCCTCAGTTCACTTGCGCAAGACATCCTGATGCGGGAAATGACTCATTTGGACGAGCGAGGCAAGTTACTAAGATGTGACAAAACCTAAGACAATGTCGTACAGACATTCATTTATCTCCAGACACAGGTTAACGCACACTCCGTTGCCCTCCCACCCCCTTTGCACTTGGACACCCAGAGACCAGTTAAGATATGTTCATTTGCGTGTGCGCCCACCCACACACTCACTGGATGTAGCCATCCACAACCTTGCCGGTGCACACGTATGTTCCCTCGCCCAGCCCCGGAGGTGCCCAACACACACCCTCACCCCCAGGGCTGGCCTGCCTGCCCACCTGCTTTGGCTACTTGGTCCACGGGCACACCCAGCTCCTGAGACATGTAGCCCAGCACGGAGAAGATGGCGAAGCCAGCCAGGATGCTGGTGATGGCGTTGCCCAGAGTGACGATAAAGGTATCTCTGCCGGGGGAAGTCCGGGCACACAGGTCCAGGCCAGAGCGAGCTGGTCCTGCCCCCAGCCCAAAGGGCCTGCCCTGGCCGGCCACTCTCCTTCCTGCTTGGGCTGCGGGGTCTCGGAGGCTGCACTCACCTGTAGATGTTCTGGTGAAACGTGTTATAGGAGGCAAAGGTGAGGAGACCCCCGAAGCCCACGCCCAGGGAGTAGAAGATCTGAAGAGCAGCTTCGATCCACACCTGTGGCAGGGAAGGACGCAGATGGAGAGCAAAGGAAAGGGCTGGCACGCCGTGGCCCTGTCCAAAGGGCCACGGAAAGAGGAGGGAGGAGGTGGGGCGGGAGCGAGTCCACAGGTCCAGCTGATGGTGTGGTGAAGAGCCTGGCTCAAAGTGACATGGGCCGGGGCAAACCCTGTTCTAGCACTTCCACGGGGGGACTCTGGTAAGTTCCTTTCCCTCTCTGGGCCTCAGTTTCCCCATCCAGGATCTAGATGATGGCTAAGCTTGGTCCAATTCTGAAGGAAGTAGTGTCTTATGTGAATTTCCAGTAGATCCATATTGACAACAAGCCCATGGAACCCCTGGACTTGGAGGGGCCTGGATTTGATTCCAGCTGCCCCGCTTTGCGGCTGTATGGCCTACGCAAGGCACATCACCTCTCTGAGCCTCGGGTCCCCCCTCTGTAATGCAGGGATAAGAACAGTAGCTCCGGGTGGTGGTAAGGTTTAATGACTGCGTCCATGCCAAGTGCAGGGTCAAGCCGTCGGCAGTTAATAAATAAGAAATGTTAGCTGTCAGCACCACTGTTTCCGTCATTACTAATGCCCTCCCTGGGGTTTGGAGTCAGACAGATCTGGGTTGGAATTCCAGCTCTGCCACCCCCTAGCCGTGTGATCTTAAGCTTATCATTCTTTCAGGCCTCAGTTTCTTCATCTGTAAAATGGGAGAATAATGTCTACCCTTTTTTAAGATGTATTTTTTTTAGTAATCTCTACACCCAACGTGGGGCTCAAACTCATGACCTCGAGATCAGGAGTCGCACACTCCTCTGACTGAGCCAGCCAGGTGCCCCAGAATAATGTCTACTTTGTAGGACAGTGAAGAATAAGAAATGAAAAAGACATACAGTGTTGAGCACAGTGCAGAGCACAGGATCTGGGACTGGGGGCCCACCACAGGGAAGATTCCTACCCATTGCCCTTTTTTCCCCAGGGAGCCCTCCTCCTTCCACTCTCTGGCTCAGGCCTGACCCCTCCCTCTGCACCGCAGCCCCAAGGACCTCACCTTGGAAGACAACAGATGGTGGAACTGGGGGGTGAGATAGAACTGGATGCCCTTCCAGGCCCCTGGGAGGGTGACTCCTCGGACCAGCAGCATGAGCAGGATGAGGTAGGGGAACGTGGCCGTGAAATACACCACCTGAGAGTGATAAGCGGGGATGGAAGGCTGAGGTGACTTTCCTTCTACCCTGTTCCTCTTCCAGAATTCCCCATCTTACCTAACTCAAAAGCTGAGAACAGCCACCATCCGTGATGCTTCTCCTTCCCTCCCCGCCTCCCTCCCTCTGCACATGGAACCCTCTTTAAAGACCTGTCACTGCTTCTCAAAGCGTCCCCAACCCATCCACCCTTTCCAGCTCTGCTGTGCCCTGCTCCAGGCCACCCTCGGCCCTTGCCTGGAGGCCTTACCTAGGTTGATGAGAGTCTCCCCCTCCATGTGTCCACTCCCCTTGCCCCCAGCCCATGCAACCCACCCTGTGTGGTCATCCGCCACTGCACATTCCCAAAGCCCCCACCACCGTGACTCATAGACCCACCTTCCAAGCATTCAACAAACACTTGAGGAGCCTCTTCAAAGGGCCAAGCACTCCGTTAGGATACAAACTTGAGTAACAGGTCCTGTGCTTGGCAAGTTTCCGGTCTGGTGAACCAGCCCGGCCACCATCCATCCTTACCTCCAAATCTTTCTTCAGGCAGTGCCTCCGACCCCCACCTCCCGCTCCGACCCCCACCTCCCGCTCCGACCCCCAACCTCTTCCCTGTCGGCGTCTATTCATCCTCTCAGACTCAGTCCATGCGCTGCTGCCTCCTCCGGGAAGCCCTCACCCCTCCCAGCCCCTCAGGCCTCTAGGACCTCCCGGGCCTCACCTTGCCTGAGGACTTCACGCCCTTGAGGATACAGAGGAACACGATGACCCAGGCCAGCAGCAGACAGAGGCAGAGGTTCCAGCGGATCTCCCCGGGACTGCCAATGCCCTGGCTGCCTTGGATGTGGAGGACGTAGCGGCTGCGGGAGAGGAAGATTTGAGGGTCCTCTGGTCACCCTGCCCCACTCTGTGGCCATGGGGTAAAGCTGTGGCCAGCAAGGTTACTATTACTGGTGTGAGCAGCATCTCGATTATCAGCTGGCGTTTACCCAGCATGATTATCCAATAGGCTGGTGCACAATTTATACCTTCCTTCCCTTAATCCTCACAATGACCCTCAGAACGCTAGTCCCATACCCACTTCAAAGATAAAGCACCAGAAGCCAAGTACATTGTGTAAGGTCATGCAGCCGGTCAGTGAAGAGCCGGAATTAGAACCTGGGGTCCCCCTAACAGCAGCACCTGGACTCGGCCTTCCAGGTGCACGCTGAGCCCCCTGGGGACGCTGGCCCATTCCTGCCCCCTGCCCCCCGCCCCACCCCATCCCCAGCAGCTCGGGGCCCTCCCAGACAGCTGCTGGGCTGGCGGTGGCCTGACCTCCAGTACTCCTCGCTGGGGCTGACAGTGCTGGTGAGGTTGAGGGGCAGGGCCCCATTGCCATCCTTGGAGCCTCTGTGCTCAAGGCAGAGGTCCGTGTTCCACCAGTTGCCACAGTGCTCCCAGGGCAGGTTGCTGGTGAGGGAGGCGAAGAGGTAGAAGAGGACGTAGGCGATGATCATGTTGTAGTAGATGGCCACCAGGCCTACGATGAGCAACATGGCCGCGCCGGCACCTGGGCATCGGGGGAGAGGGGGCTGCCCTCAGGTCAAGCCTTCTGCAGGCCAGGCTGTGTGGCCTCCGGAAGCCATCCCCTGTCTGGGCTTCACTTCCTTCTCTTCCTAGAGGCTGGGTCATGGGGGGCAACCTCCCTGCCTCCCCGCCGGGCCCAGGCCCCTGCCGGGACCCTGAGGCCTCACCTTTGAAGAGGGGGCTGATTTTCCAGACGGCCAGGGGTCCCAGGCTGGAGAACTGGCCCAGAGAGAGCTCGAGGAAGAAGAGGGGGATGCCACAGATGGCCAGCATGAGGAAGTAGGGCACGAGGAAGGCGCCTGTGCGGAGGAGGAGGGCGGTCAGGGGAAGGTCTCAGGTGGGTCGGCTCCCCTAAAGCCCAGCTCCAGCCCCGCCCCTCTCCTGAGGACAGACACCGGCAACCCCATGGAGCACTTCTCCTGTGGATGGACCAGATCACGGAGGGCTACGGGGGCTGGTGGGGCTTTACCCTCCTCTGCAGCCCCAGTGCCCAGAGCAGGGGCGGGCTCAGAGGAAACACTGAGTGAGCGAAGGAATGTGAGTGAATTCCCTGCCGAAGAAAGCGCCAACTCCTCAGTAGGAAATGAAGGGGCTCGGGATCTGGCCCCAGTCGACCTCCGCCTGTCCTCTCTGCCACGCCACCTTAGGGGCTTCTGGCTGCCACCAGTGGTCCCATGTGCCCAATATCCCTCCCCATTTGCTTCCCCTATTGACAGGCAGCTCCTTTAGAAGACTGCCCCCCACTACGGGGCTCTGGAAGGGCTGTCAGTCACACCCGCCGCCCCACCCCCCACCCCCTCAGGGGCCGGGCTCCCAAGGCAGGCCAGTTAGAGACCTCCCCTGCCATTGCATATAGCCGCACCCAGAGAGAACAGCTCTGAGGATGAGGTCATTGCAGAGTTGTGTGTGGCCACCCGCCACCCAACTGCAAGGAGGGAGCCGGTCCCAGGAGAAAATGAGGTCAGCACCCAGAGAGAAACAGAATTGGGAGCCAGGGAAAGGGAGAGCCCACAGAACTGTGGCCATTATGGAGTTCCTAGAGCGTCAGACACCAGCTCCAGTCCCATCCTTCCCGGCCACGGCCATTCATCTTGTCCTCGCCTCATCCCCTCCTGTTTGGATTTCTGCCGCTCTGCCAATAGATGCCTCTGCCATGAGTTTGGCAGAGACAGGAGGAGGCTTGGAGGGTGGGCAGGAGCACCCTGGCTCTGGAGCAGGTAGGCCTGGAGGTGGAATGTTGGATCCGCCACCGGGCGACCTTGGACAAGGAACTTGGCCTCTCCAAGCCCCGGCTGTCACATCAGGACAACCGTGCCGCCCAAGAGGGCTGTCATCGGGGTTAAATGCCTGGGGCTGGCAGACGGTAAGTGCTCAACCCCAGCTATTCTTAATGAGACTCAGAACAGTCACCTGATGGCTAAGCACGCACAACAGAGGATTTATTTAAGATGGGACGGGCTTCGTGCTTGTAGTCTGAATGGAAGGATCCAGGAGAGGAGGGCAGATTGAAGATTCACAAGTGGGAAGGACTGGCGGGGTAGGGGAGGAGGGCGGATGGGAGAACTCTGAGAGCGTGGTGATCGCTGCCGGGCAGGTACAGCCTGCTGTCATGAAGCAGAGGCAGCTTCTCTGCCCATCACTCAGGGCCCGGGAAGTGCCCAGGCTTCGGGGGAGAGGTGAGGAGGTATCCACCCTGGGCATGAGAGGGGAAGGACGGGTTTGGGTGATGAAAAAAGACAAGGTAGAAAGAGCTCACTTCTCCCAGCCCCATGTCACTGCTTTCAGTGAATTCTGCTCAAGGCCACATAGGAGATGGTGGCCAAAGCCACTGAAAACCTCACTCCACCCCAAGTCCTGGCCTACAAGCCCAGACGCCGCTCCAGCAGGCCCTCCGGCCCCTACCTCCTCCGTTGGTGTAGGCCCGGTAGGGGAAACGCCAGACATTGCCCAGGCCCACACAGTAGCCAATGCAGGACAGCAGGAAATCCAGCTTGCCCGTCCAGTTCCCCCGGTCGGCGGCGAAATCCATGTCCAGGTCTACATCGCCCTGGTCACTGGGGGTCATCAGCAGATCTGGGGTAATGGGCTGCCGGTAAAAGAGACCAAAGAGGTGAGGCCAGGTTGGAACTGTGACACAGCCCCACCCCACCCCCAAAATAAGAAGATGAACTCAAACAGGGCTGAATGCAAAGATACTCTACAGGTTGAGAAAATCAACTGCTCTTAGCTGGACTAATATGTCATTTGCAGGAGCTCCTTGGGGTGGCTGGTCACTACAAATTTATGAGGCCAGCAGGGTGGCTCAAGTGCTAAGAAAGCCACCTCGATCTTAGTTCAGTTAACAGAGAGGTCAAATCAAGGGATGGTCCTAGGTTGATGATGACGACGATGATGATATTAATAATAGTTACCATGTCTTGAGCAGTTACTATGTGCTCAGTGCACTAAACGTTTTACCTGATTTCATTCTCAAAGCCTATGAGCTAAGTGCTTGTCTAAGTGCTGTTTCAATCACGAGGACCACTGAGGCTCTGAGAGGAGTCGTGACATAGCCGAGGTTTTAGAAGGCTGGCTGGTGGAGAGCTAGGTCTCACGCCCAGAGCTTCCCAGCACGGAAGCCCGTGTCTTCAATCTCCAGTGCTGGCCTTTTGCTGCTCTGTTCCGGGCACCATATTTTAAGAAAGACACAGACAGCTCGGAGCATGTCTACAGGGCAGATGGCCAGAAAGGGGGGTGTTCGGGAGAAACAGTCACAAGAGGACAGGGGAAGAAGCGGGGGCCCTCGGCACAGAAAGAAGAGGACTTGGAGGGAACACGGCCTCCCCGAGGGAGGAATTCGACTTATGCTCTTGTGGCTCAAGGAGGCCTATGGAGGACTGTGAATTTTAGTTCATAAGCAGGAAGAGGATACTGAGTTCAGGTCTATCTCACAGAAGTCATAATCATCTTGTCACTGCAGGAGAGAGGCAGGCACAGAGGGGAGTGGAAGCCAGCTGTCCCTAAGGTCCCTGCCTGCGATTCAAGGAGGGTGGGGAAGTCCACTGGGCCTTTTCCCTCCAGCCTGGGGCTGGGAAATGGAGGCCCTCCCGCAGCTGCTTGAAATGCTGGCTGGGGGGATGAGCTGGTGATCCAAGCTGACGGCCTGCAAGGAAGCCCAAACATACCAGGCTAATTGTCGAAAATCCAGAGAGCATAAATAAATAAAATCTTAAAAAAAATAAATAAATAAAAGGGTGCCTGGGTGGCTCAGTTGGTTAAGCGGCTGCCTTCGGCTCAGGTCATGATCCTGGAGTCCCGGGACTGAGTCCCAGGTTGGGCTCCCTGCTCGGTGGGGAGTCTGTTTCTCCCTCTGACTCTCCCCCCCTCATGCTCTCTCTCTCTCTCATTCTCTATCTCTCAAATAAATAAATAAAATCTTTAAATAAACAAATAAAATAAAATAAAATAAAATAAAATAAAATAAAATAAAATTCAGAGAGCAGTTCCCCCAAAGTGTCTCCTGGAATGGGTCAGAAGAAAGGGACAGCCATGCCCTTCCCACGTGCCTCTGAAATTCACACCCATATCAGAGAAGGACAGAGCTACCAAGAAGGCCAATTGTCCAATAACATCATGGCTCTGAGAGAGGAGAAAGGACCCCCTGCTTCTGCTGAGGAATGGTTGTGGGGAAAACAGTGATACCTCTGGACTGGGAGTCAGGAGACTACAATTCTAGTCCCAGGTCTGTGCCACTTCACGGTGTGACTTGAGGAAAGAGTTTTCTGAGCCTCAGTTTCCCCATCTCTACACTGAGGGGATTGAATAAATCGGTGTTTCCAAAAATACATCCCTTGGGATGCTCGTGGGTGCTCAGTGTAAGAAAAGGATTCTTGAGTCAAAGAAGTTTGGGGAACACTGGGTTAACACAAAGCAAAATAGTTTTCTTTGCTGCAGGACTTGTCAGATCCTTTAATGCACCAATACCCACTGCGACTGACTAGAATAGACAGTATTCTACAATTCTATTCAAGAAAAGGATTTTAAGAAGCTAGCATGCTGAGACTTACTCAGAGAAATGTAGGTCTATCTGTTAGTCTTCTAGCTCTAATGGTCTGTGAGGCAAGCTTCACCAGAGACTCCCCTGGAGACACTTGCAGTGGTTGAAGGCCAGATCGGATCCTAGCACGGGGACTTGGTAATTGTCTACTGACCAGATATTTTTTCCCCCTAAAATTGCCCTTTCTGACACCAGCCAAGTAGGTGTCTACACACAAATTGGGTGGTGACAGAGGAGGCTTTGCAGGGGATTTGTCCTATGAGCATTGCCGGGATAAAGACAGTGAAAGGAGAGTGCAGGTGTCATAGGACTGGAGGTGTCTGGGTGCAGTGACAAGGTTGAGGCAACGGGTTTGGGGGGCAGGATGGGGGTAACAGTCTTGGGTTGGCTCCCAGTGACAGTGGCGACCATGGTAACGATCCTGCCTGAGGCTGGCTATTGGCCAGAGGGGCAGTAGTAACAAGGACAGCCTGGCATAATTACGGGTGATGGCGATGCTGGCGATAATGAACGTGAACAAGCCGCTTTGCCAGTAATTGGGCTTGCGGTGATCTCAGACATGCTGGGCTGAGGGTAGTAGCAGCCTCCGGACCTATCTGAAACCCGCACCAGCCCTCTGATGCTCCTTTCCACAAGGTTCCTCCCCAGCTGGGTGAGCATCGGCCCTCTGGAATCACTCCCTGTCAGGTGAGCTCCAGGAGGGATGGAGGAGCCGCCAGTTGACACTGGCCCTGATATGGGGTAGTGTGGCAGGCCGGTCACCCTGTCAGCCCCCCCAGCCCTGTTCAGGCCAGCTGGCAGGAGGGCCCAGTAATGAGGTTCCTCTGATCCCTCCTGAGAAGCTGCTGCCCTTTCTCTGCTCACAGAGCAGTCCCGGCTCTCTGTTTCCATGGTGACAAGAGTTCCAAGAGCAGGATGCTGCCAGCTCTCCTGTCCCCTCCTCCCCCCAATCAGAGGGAAGCCTGCTCTTGCTCCAGGGACAGGGTATTGGGTCCTCCAAAGATGAGCCAATCCCAAGACCACCTGGAGCCCCCAACCCCACCATGGGGTGAATCCCAGGATGCTGGCACAGAGAGGATGTCACTGGCTGGGAGACAAGTAACCAAATCAATGGGGCAGGGTTGGAAGCTTAATGAGTCGCTTCACACTTGGGCCTGGGTGTGAAGATCCCACTGCCGATTCCCCCACTGCCTATCCCGACTCATGCAGGAACATAATCCTGAGTTTGCCAGACCTGCACCCCCTCTTTTAGGGACCAACCAATGTAGGTCCCCACCAGCAGTGGCAGGTGCTGGAAAAGGTTAGCCTGCCCCAAAGACTCTCATACCTTCTTCAGGATGAGAAAGACAATAGAAATCTGAAGTCCAGCTTCATCACTGTGCAGATGAGGAAACTGAGTTTCAGGAAGGGGAAGGGCTGAGCCAAGGTCAAATAGCAAGTTAAGGGCAGAGCAAGACCAGAATCCACACCCATGACTTTCAGCCCAGTGCTCATCTCTAACAACGCTGCTCCTTTGCTGATACCCGGCATTTCCTCCCTCCCTGCCCCCTTCACCTTGAGACCAAGGGAGAGGACACTGAGGCCAGGTGGCTCCACCCCTGCCCTGTTGGCCCTAGGTCACTCAGCCCATCTTTAGGAAAGCAGCAAGCTGCATCCTCCATGTCTGTTTTCTCCTTGTCTGTAAAATAAGGGTAACAAGACCTAGCCCCTAGAATTTTTGGAGGATTACGTGAGATAAGGCTTTACAGAACATGGCTATTTACACACTGTATGGCCCTGTGGCAGCGAGGGGCAGGCGCTCTTGTGGGGAGAGAGGAAGAGGAGAGACTTGGAGAATGGAAAAGAATGGTGGGCCCAAGAAGACCCACGAGACCCACAAATGGCCCCAAGAAGTCATTCATGTCAGTAAATAAAAAAGACCCACTTATCACAGCAGTTCCACACCCAGCTGCACAGGGGCGGAAGGCTTGAATGGGGGCGGGGGGGTGGTCAGTAACACCAGCACCTGTGAGTTCTCTCTCCCATCTACATCTACCAGCCCCTGTGGGGTCACCACATACCCCAAACCCCACTCAGGGACAGTGGGGCCTGCTTTGGTGCCTTGATACTGGAGCTGGATCGGCAAATGACAGTCCAGGTTAGAGAATGGACTTGCCCAAAGTCACAGGGTAGGTGGCATCTGCAGAAAGAGTGCCCAGGAGTTCTGACTCCTTGGATAGGAATTGTACTTTTAAGCCAAAAGCAAGAAACATTGACCCAATACTCTCCCTTCCCGCACCCCCACAGGCTACTTGGCTGGGAGGTCTAACCCCACGGGAGAAGTGGGGAGGGGCTGCAATCTCAGCCCAGGGCTCCAAAAACACAGATTTGGCCCCCTCTCTCATGCCAGCTTCCACCCTACCCCCGTATCCTTTGGATCTCCTATTTCCTTCTTCCCTGCCTTTGCCTCCAGTCAGCCCTGCTGATGGGGTCTTAGCAGGGAAGCTAAAGCTGGTGGGGAGGAAGCAGGTGGTGGCCCCCCCGCAGGGCAAAAGCAGCGTCCCCGCTGGTTCTGGGAGGCTGCTTCAGTGTAGAGCGCACGGATGAGGACCAGGGCGGCTCCCCGCCCCCCCCCCCCGAAATTAGTCCAGCTCAAGGCTGGTGCTCAGCTATTCTAACACCCCCAACCCCAATCAGGCCCTGGGGGAAACGGGTGGGGGACTTGGAAGGGGCGGGCGCCTGGCCCCAGCCACCCCTACCCCACGCCTCCTGGGGTTGCAGACACCTGTTCGAAGGACCTGACCCAATGAACCCCAGCCCCATCACACAACACCCCGACCCTGAGATGGGGAAGGCCATGTCGCCACCCGACAAGCCTCCCACCCCCCACTCCCCCACCCGCCGCAGGCCGTGACCCCGCCCCTCCTTGCAACCTAGCTCAGCCCAGCCTCCCCAGGAGACCCAGCCAGTCCAGGTGCCGTCTCCTACCGTCCTGGGGCCTGGATGGGGCGGGCCTCTGCACCCCCCCTCAGGTGTGCCTGCACCCCCCCTCAGGTGTGCCCGCGCCCCCGTGTGCGCCCGCGTCCTCCTGCCCTACCTTGCGCTGGTGAGCTCCCTGGAGCTTCTTCATCTTGGAGGGCGGGTTGCCGGGGCTTCCCGGCTTGGCTTCCCCTGAGAGCAGAGAGCGAGCGAGGGAGGAGAGATCGCGCCGCCGGCAGGCCGCCGCGACTTTGCCTCGGCTGCTCCCGCGCACCGGCTTGGGGTGGGGGGCGCGGGCGCGGGCGCAGGCGCTGCGGTCTGTCGGCTGCGGGCGTGGGGCGTGGGGCGCTGGCCGGGCGCTGCGAACGCCCGAGCCTGGGGAGGGGTGCACCGCTGCGCCGGCGGAGACACCCAGACAGACCGGCTGACGGACCGATAGCTGGGGGATGCGCGCGCCCCCGCACGCAGAGCTGCGGATTGGAGGGGCCCCGAGCGCGGGAGGAGGGGGGTCCGCGACGGAAACCCTCCGAGGTCTGGAGGCCTCGGCCACCGTCTTCTGCGTGACCTTGGGCAAGTAAACTGCCCTCTCTGGGCCTCCCTTTCCACAGTTGGGTGAGGAGAGAGGCAGGCCACGTGCGTGGACACTAAGGGCCAGGTCCTGGGTTTCAGCGATCCAGTGCCTCCTTTGCTGTGTGACCTTGCCCACGTTACTTAAGCTCGCCGCGCTTTTCCAGATGAAAGATGCCTTTCATCCGGAAAATGGGGATAAGAATCTTACCCCCCTAACAGTGATGTGAGGAATCCAGGGAGATTATGCATAGAAAATATGTAGTACAGGGCCTGGCACATAGTAGGGGCTCAGCTGACACTTACTGACTATGAGTTGCCCGTTCCTGCCACAAAAGGAACAGCCGACATGAATCAGACAGGTATTCAGTCTACCAATATTTATTATGCCAGATCCCGGGCTACGTCTTATTGTCTCAGCACAGTGACCTGGAGAGACAGATGGCATCATCCCTATTTTACAGATGAGGAGACTAAGTTCCTTACTCAAGGTCACAGAGCTAGTGAGTGACACCAGTGACAGAGTCAGGCCCCACGGACCTTCTGGGTGGTCTGGAACATTTCTCCTTTTGCTGGGATGAAAGAGATAAAGGGAGGTTTGGGCAAGAATAGACAGAGCAAGCGTCACCATGTTGCTGTGATGGCTTGTGACTTAGATCATGAGCACCTGGGTTCCTCTCCACCAGCAGTATGACCTTAGGAATGTTATCATTTCACATCTCTAAAATGAGCCATCAGCGACACCATGCCTGACCGACCTCTCAGGACCTTGTGAGGGTTCATGTGAGCCTGTGACTAGGAGGGGGAATTATTAACTACAGTGTTATTACCCACTGGTCTGGTACATGCTAGGGGACCTGGCATATGCATTGTAGATCATGTCCCTTTCACTCACAAGTGTCCCAGTTCAGACACTAAATCATAGGGTTGCCCTACCATTAACCAACATGGGGAAGCCTTCGGGGAGAGTGAGGGTATAAGGGCCTGCTGCCTCTCATACCCCTGGAGCCTGGAAGGAGGCAAGAAGGGTTTAAATCAAAGCACAGGTCCAGGAAAAGGGCCTGGCTGGGTCCTGGGCCCGCCTCTCCTCCCGAGGTCCCACCCAGCTGCTCCTTCCTTTAAGCCTGGCCTCGAAGGGCAGGCCAGGGGCTCTCCAGATGCAGGAGGAAGGAGCCCTTTGGGCATGAAGGTGAGGGAAGGAACATTCATGAAACCCTACTGTGTTCATTGGATGAAGGCTTATATCCAACATCTGTTTTGTAACTCTTTCCAGCAGCCTGAGAACACAGGTTTGGGCATCCCCAGTTGCACCTGAGGGAAGGGTCTCAGAGGAGTGAAATCATATACCCAAGGTCACACAGAGCGCGGAATCTCTGGGCTTTGGAGAGGGCAAAAGCCCTTGGCTCCCGAATCCAAGAAGGCCCCGGGCAGGAACCACCTCCCCCTCCCCTCCCCCAGGGCCTGTCACCACTTCTCTCACCAGACAGGGTGCAGCTTTGCTGAACAACCCGGTCATTAGACACGTGGGTTTCATTAGACCCTCTGGAAGATCCAGAGAACCACAGAAAGAGGGAATAGAGGTGAGGCATTGGCTCAAGAGTCCTGGAAAACTGGCCTCTTTATGGCGCCTTCCCAGTTGCGCCTGCTTCCCCCAGATTCAGCCCTGGGGGGAGCCAGCCTTGGGGTCGTGGGAGGGAATAGGACTGGATCTTTTTTTTTTTTTTTTAAGATTTTATTTATTTATTTGTCAGAGAGAGAGCAAGCAGGGAGGGCTCAGGCAGAGGGAGAGGGAGAAGCAGGCTCTCTGCTGAGCACAAAGCCCAATGCGGGACTCCATCCCAGGACCCTAGGTTCATGACCTGAGCCGGAGGCAGACGCCTAACTGACTGAGCCACCCCGGAGTCCCAGGACTGCATCTTTACTTTAGTCTTCCTCAAGCAAACACATCATGGGGTGACCACTGAACATCAGTGGCAGTCACTGGGGCTGTGAGTGCAAATGGGTCCAGGCTCATACTTTTCAGATGGGGAAACTGAGGCCCAGAAAAGGCAGGACTAAGAAGAAGAAGAAGAAGAAGAGGAGGAGGAGGAGGAGAAGTCAGGACTTGCACAATTACTGCGTGAAGCATAGGTGGGGTTAGTCCTGGCATCTAGGAGTCTGACCCCACTCAGGCTCTGCCCTCCAGATAGGGTCAGATCCTCTGCCCTATCACTGCAACCCTTGTTAGGAAAGTCTGGTCTTCCTCAAACAAATAAACAAAACCCCAGCATCTTCTAGAAGATATTGTCCACATAAGCCCACCTGCCCACTGAAGCCCCAGTCTTACAATCATACAACTGGTCACGAGTTCAGCCACCAAGCACGTTTGACACTGTCCCCTCTCCCTTATCCCATAGCAAGTTTGGGTAGTACTGGGCAGAATAACCACTTAGGAATCCTAACCAGTAAATCATCTATCTCCCTTCCCCCTTCCCACCTCTCTCTCTCTATTTCTCCTGGTCTCACATCAAACCAGAATGGAGATATGTTGCTGATTTAAGGAAAGTGTTAGATGAAAATGTACTTCCTTTTATTATATAGGGAGATATTTTTAAATGCATATAAATAAACATTTTTAATTTGCTAAAACGTTCAGACTTTATCGCTGCAGAGCATGTGTTTTGTTACACCAGCGAGTGGCGACTGTGAAAAATGAGGAATCAGACTGCTAGTCCATCTGGTATGATTCAGAGAAAGTGGCTCCGGAGCAGCCGCACTGGGACGGATTGCCCTCCAAAGCTGCCCTGTCCGAGGCCGACTCTGCATCCCACTGGCTGGGCACCCCATCCACCCGGAGCCGGGCTGGTTTCCTTGGAGCTCCGCAGTCCTCCTGCCCCCCATCATAACCCGTTACACATGCATGCACACACATGTACCCTGAGCGGCAGGAGACCTCCCCTACTCCTCATGCTGGGCGGAGTCCTCCCCTCCAGCTGAGCGGCGGCCCTCTCTGCTCTGCCCACACCAATCCCTTGGCAGTCGATGGGATTGACTCCTCCACAGACTGAGGCTCTTGGCGCGGCATTAGGGGTCTACAGGGGAAGTTGCATGCAAAACATAGTGCTGATGTGCATGCTTCTGATTTGCTAGAGGCCATGACCAGGCCATGGGCCTTTGAGGACCAGGCCAAGCCATATCTGGCGTTTGTCCGGACACCTGGTCTCAGCACCAGCTCAGGGCCCGCCACCTGGGGGAGGGTGGCATAAAATTACTATACGCAAAATAGAAGCAGTAGCAGCTATTCCTGACAGGAAGGCTGGCATACCTCTTAGCACTGGGTCAGCTGCTGGGTCTGATGGGACATGAGGGGTCCCTTTCCTGAGCCATAACACCCTGGGCTCTGGTGGAACTCTCTGAGTGATAGGGAGCTCACTACTCGCAAGGCAGCCCATGACAATGCTTGGAAGTTGAGATCAAAGTTTCCTCTTTCCTGGAGCTCAGACACCAACTGACAGGCGATCACCAACCCACCTTGTGGGCCCCACCCAAACCCCTGGCCTCCCATGTCGGCAGCAGCTGCAGCTGACCCAACCTGCCAGGCCTGGCCACTGACCTCCTGCCAGACAGAGGTTGTCCTGTGGCTGGGGACAGGCTTGTCCTGCCTCAGACCTCCCAGACTGCCATCAGCCCTCAGCACTGGGGCGGGGGGCGGGGGGGGGGTGCAGAATAAGGGTAGTTAGAACATTAGGCAGAACTGTAGGGATGCAACAGCCCCATGAGCAGGTGGCCAAAACACAGCACCTATCCTGTGCTAAACACAATTCTGAGATAGGTTCAAGGATTTTATTTCCATTTGACAAATGAGGAGGCCAAGGCTCAAAGAAGCTAAGTGACTTGCTGAAGTCTCAGAGCTGGGAGGCAGTAAACTGGAGGCCAGGCCATCTGACACTGGAGCCTGGGGCTGAACGTTGAGTCCCCCCAGCCCACGGCATCCCCACACTCCGGAGTGTGTCGTGTTCACTGGGGTGCTGGCAGGTGCTAGTAGGGGGCTCCTGGGTAGCAAAGCATGGAGAATGCCGGATTAAAGAAAATTCAAGGGGTTTCTTTGCTGTGGGACTTGTCAGAGCCTTTGATGTGTTAATGTACCACTGGGACTCCCCCAGAAGTGTTGAGTCTGCAGGACTTCCCAAACTTACTGGACCTGAGTCATATTTCTTTTTGGTAAATGAACTCCTCAGTTTTACAGATGGGGAAATGAGGCCCAGAGAGGGGAAGCAGTTAAGCCGGGGTCACACAGCAAGTATTTGTGAAGATCAGAAAACTATATACACTCTGCCAACTACCCTCCCACCAACTCTCTTCCTCTGCCCTTGGAACCATAGTTCTTTCCCTGGCACCACCTTGCTCCCAGGCCTTAGATGCCCACCATCTGCGGGGAAGCTGTGGGGCCTCCCAGGCTACCAGCAGGAGGAGAGAGGGAAGTGCCTACTGCCTTCAAGGGCTAGTGTGGGGCTGGAGCCACCTTGTGCCTTGTTGTCATGTGTCCCAGGAGCAAAGGGCAGACAGGCAGGCTACACACACTTTTTTATGGCTGGGCCACATCCCAGAACAGTAAACAGAGGGGCAGGCAGCTGGCACCAGAAACTTCGAGAGAGCAAAGGCCCCAGGTGGCAGACTCCTGCCCACCTCTGGAAGGGAGCTGAGAACAGTTTTCTCAGGAGTTTTAAAACATCATACTTTAAGTTCCTATTGTTCATATTCTTTTTTTACCATTCCTCCTTGGTTGGCCTGACAGCACCTACTAGATCTTTAGGCCTCAATCCAAACATCACCTCCTCCAGGAAGCCTTCCAGACCTTCTGCCATAAGCTGAGAGCCCACTCCGGGCTCTGTTCCTTTGATGCCCAGAGCAGAGCTCCGACTGGGAACTTTTGTGGGCCAAGGACTGTGCATTCCCTGGGCTCAGCCATGCCTGGCACACAGGGGTGCCCAATGAATATCAGCTGTTGAATAAAAAATGTGAGCTGAAAGTGCTTGAAAAATTCAAAAAACCAATATATTGAGTCTGATGAATCTGCCTACAAAATGGATTTACAGTTTTACATAGTCTCATAGACTTACTCTAACAATGTCCTGTTTTGATCTTTCAAACACATTTTAAAGGTGACCTTGTTAGAGACCTACAGAGACCGGAGGGGACTATGCAATTGTTAGGGAAGGGTGTGGATGGTTTATACTTCTTTAGCATTTTCCTTTAATGCTGGGTATAATGATTTTTATACTTTTTTTTTTTGAAAAGAGAAAAAAAATTTATTCTTGAAGCTGCATCCAAGAGATTCCACTCTATGTGCAACACTTGCCCAGCTGTGAGTTCTGCTTGGTCTGGAGAAAGTTCCCCGGGGACTCCCTGGGGCCTGGGCCCTAAGGGATAGCCTAGGGGTGTAGAAACTAGGCAGGTGGACTCCCCCCCACCCGGCCCCCTCGGCCTGTCCCCATCTGGAGGCCCCACTGAGAATGCTAGTGGGGCATACGGCTCTGCAACCCAGAGGGGACAGTCATCAGAGCCTCTTGCTCTGTCCCAGTCTTGTGGGCTTTGTGCTTTGCATCCATCCGGCCTAGAGAGGGATCAGGGTAATTTGTGACAGGGACAGCTGGAGGTGAGGCTGCAGGAAGAGGCAGGTGGGAGCTGACCTCATCCCTTCCCCTCGGGTCATGGGCTGCAAGCATTCCGTCTTCTCTCGGCTCTAGCTCCTTTCTCCTGAGTCAGTCCAATCCCTCCAGCGGCCTCCCACCCTTGAACCCATCCACGGAGGAGGAGGTGGGGCCTGGGAACTTATCACAGCCCCTCACCTAGCCCTCTAGGGATCGAGACCTCCCCCCTGAGGCCTAGAACACAGGAGCTGGAAAGGTCCTTATTCCACAGGCTCCAGGTGTAGATGGGTCAAGGGGATGCAGGGCTGGGTGGGCAACTTGTCCAAGGTTACCCAAGGTTAGTGGCAAGGCTGGGACTCAGACCAGGCCTCCTAGGCCTTAACGGGAGCCACATGCCCAGCACCTGAGTCCCTAGGCCCCCAGCCCACAAGGCTGGGCAGGGGGCTACGGCAGATACTCCTCCTTAACTGGCACTGGGGAGGAGGCTCCCAAGAGGCTGGCAGAGCTGGGACACAGGCCCCCCAGGGGCGGCCCAGCTGCGGTGGGGGTGACTTCGTGGGCTGGTGGGGGGGGTGGTGGGGGCTGCTGCTGCCTCTTCTTGTTCACTTTGCGCTCCTTGGCCCGCCGGTTCTGGAACCAGATCTTCACCTGTGGTATGGGAGAGCAGAGATGGGCTAGGTGGTGGGGAGACCAAATGGCAGAGCACGAGGAAGACCGGAAGGACAGCTGGGCTCCTATTTCCCCATGTGGGGTTTATGGCCTCCCTCCTGCACCACCACCCAGACTATTCATGGCCGGGGAACACAACCTCCTCCTCTAGAACCTGCTCCCCGACCCTAAAGACAATATCTCTGTAACCTTCTCGGTCCCCATTTTGGAAGACCCCTCCTCCAGGAAGACTTCCCTGTGCTCCCTGTAACTGCTCCCCCCCGCCTTGGATTTAAACAGCAATCATCCTAGCTGCTGTAGCCTATAGCTAATCAGATCCCCCTTCCGCCCTACTGGGGGTCAGGGATATTGGGTTTTGTTGCAGGTGGGAGGATTTGGCAGCAGCTCAGTTTCTGCTGAGTGCTGTGTGACCATGGTCAGGAAACCCAACCTCTCTGTTCTCCTCCCTGACTGAGTCTATAATCTGCCTGACACCCTGGAGGCCAGACTCCCAGTACTGCTCCTGTGGTAAAGGTGGGGGGACCCACACACCTGCCGCTCAGTGAGCCCCAGATTGGCAGCGAGCTCTGACTTCCGCCGGATGGTGATGTAACGGCTATAGTGGAACTCCTTTTCCAGCTCCAGGCGCTGGTGGTCGGTGTAGACCACGCGGTACTTGTCCTTGGTCCGGGTCTTCCCTGAGAAGCAGAGGGCCCAGGAGGGGAAGTAAGTGGGCGGGGGGGGGCTGCAAAAGCTGAAGCAGGGCCCCAGGGAGGAAGCAATCCAGGCCCCCCCGAAAGGAGGACCCTGAGGTTGGGAGGGACGCACACTCAGTCCTGGGGGGTAACTATCATTCCCCTGGGGTCAGACTTGGAGACCCCCAACCTGAGAGGCAAGCACTGCTCTCATGCCCATTTCGGGAGGCACGAGGCTCAGAGAGGAGAAGCAATTTGCTCAGGGCTCAACAACAAGCTGCTGGTGGAGTTGGGGTTTCAGTCCAGCTCCCCCGACCCAGAGCCCTCCTCTGATCCACCAACTCCACCAATTTTCACCCAGCAGTTTCCAGATGCGGCTGTGCAACAGATACTTGGGGAGCGCATGAAAAACACAGCTTCCAGGGCATCCCTGACCCTGTGAACCGGAAAGCCTGGGGGCTAGACTCGGCATCTTATTTTTTTTTAGATTTTATTTATTTTTTAAGTAATCTCTACACCCAACGTGGGGTTAGAACTCACGATCCTGAGATCAAGAGTCGCATGCTCCACTGACTGAGCCAGCCAGGCCCCCTTAAAATCTGCATTTTTAACAAGCTCTCCAGGTGGTTCTGATTCAGGATCCTGAGACCACGGGTGGTCACACCAGAGACAGAGAGGGACACCTAGCAGCCCAGGGCAGACTGAGACCAGTGACAAGTCAGCGGCTCCTCTCTCCAGCGCAGGAGGAGAGTGGGGATGAGCCACCACAGGCAGAGGTGGAAGCTTGCTGCTCCATCCTGGGGTGGGTTCTCTTCACTTCCCGTCAAATGCCTGGCGGCTGCTGGCCCAACAAAAAACACTGCTCACAGCCCCGAGGCCCCGAGGACCTGTCAGGTACCTCCAAAGACCCTAGCCCTGGACACCAAGCCCTAAGCTGGGGTTGCAGCAGTCTGCCCAGAGCCATCCACACCACCGCCTCTTCCCTGTGCACAGAGCAGTGATGCAGGCTCAGGTAACAAATATTTACTGAGCTCCTGCCGTGGGCCAAACACTGGGGTACACCAGCGAGCAAAACTAAAAAAGGTCCCTACTCTCAGTGAAATCAGGTTCTAGTGGAACCTAATCAAAATAATCAGAGATCAAAATAATTTGATATGTTAATGCTAAGTACTTGATATGTTAATTGATAAGTATTCTTAAGAAGACAGGAAGAAAGGACTGGGAATTTGGGGAGGAGAAAGTATGAGATTTTAAATAGAGTAGTCCATGAAGGTCTTACCAAGAAGGGGACTTTAAGCAAAGATCTAAAGGAGGTGAGGGAAAGGGTCATGCAGCTATCTGGGGAAGAGGGCTCCGGGTGCAGGGAACAGCAAGTGCAAAGGCCCTGTGGTGGGAGCATGCCTGACATCGGATGTGTGGGGAACAGTGAGGAGGCTGGTGTAGCCAGAGTGCAGTGAGCAAGGACAGAGGTGCAGGTTGTCCAGGGCCTTACCAGCCACGGAAAGGACTCTGGGTTTAACTCTGTCTGTGATGGGAGCCATTGCAGGCTTCTGAGCCCAGGAGACATGAGGACTGATATTGGTTTTAATCTGCCTCTGGCTGCTGCCTGGAGGACAGACTGGCAAGAAGGGGAAAGCACAGATAGGCTTGCAATAACCCAGGAGAGAGAGAAGGCTGTGGCTTGGCTTCTCTACAGGGCTAGGCCTGGGGCCGGGAGAGGGATTTGAGGACTGATTGGGGTTAAAGTCAGTACTCTCTTTGGGGCTGGGATCAGAGGTCTGTCTGGAGAGAATATTAAGAGTCGTGCTTGGCCTGGGCTGGTGCGGGGGCCTGACTAAACACGTTTCCTTCGCAAGAAGCTGAGTACTCGGCTATAAATAGGAGGCACACGCAAGCACTTTCAGACCTACCCATGTCCACCAGGCCATGACGAGTCTCGGAATAACCGTGGACCCTGCTCCACCTCACCCAGTTGCCCCCACAAAGACTGGCCTTTACCTCCCAGGGTCACGGCTCTGGCTTTGCCTGTCCCTCAACACCCCAGTGCTAACCACCCACCCCTCTTCCAGCTCCCGCCCCACTACCAAGCCCACGCAGCTTGGCAGGACAGCCACTGGGCTCCCCAAGAGCCAAATGGTTTTGCAGAAAATGGGAGACAACAGATGTTTCTGGGCTTTTTTCCTTGGGTTTCCTGCCAGAGCAGCAGAACTGCACTGGACGCTTCCATAGCCACTGACCTCAGCCCACCACCCGATGTAGCACGGGACAGCCTCGGCCCTCGGCCAGGCCTGGCCCAGGAAAGGGACAAGGGAGTGGCTGCTGAGGCCTTGGCTCCAGATGGGCCCTTCCTTGGCCTAGAAAATTCAACGCCGACTCAAAAACAGTTCTGCCTAATGCGCCACCCCCAGAGCCCAGGAGAGCTCTGAATCTTCACTGGGCTAACGCCGGAAGGGTTCAGTTTGGTCTCCTCCCATTTTATAGATGAAGAGACTGAGGTTCGGGCAGGTAATACAGATGCTGGAGGTCCAAGTAAGAGAGGCCTTGTAAAACCTTCCAGTCCGACCTGCCCCGCACAGTCAGGGTCACTGAAGCCCTGGGCGAGCGTGGACTTGCCCAAAGCCATGTCACCTGGTGGAAAGTTCCCACTCCTTACTCTTGGCACAACTCCTCACCCCATCAGGCTTGGGGTCCATAGAGCCCCCCCAAGAAGCCTCCTAAGCCTTGGTAAAAGAAGCTCAAACAGTAGACCACCTGTCTACTTGTACTTCTGGGAAGGGAGGGGCCGGATCATGGTAAAGGCAGGCCCCAGAGAGCTCTGGGCTGGGGCTAGATGGTCCGCAGGCTGGGTGGGCCTTTGAAAATGCCCAGAATACTCACAGCCTTAAGTGGTGGGACAAGTCTCCTTCCCTTTCCCACCCAAACAGCCTGACAGATTACAAGCAGCGCTTATGAAGCTTATTATGCCTTTTCCTCAGGCACCCAGCACTCACTCCCATCTTTTCTGATGAGTAAGTGGGGAGCCAGCACACCCATTTCCATAGATGAGGGAAACGGGGGCTCAGAAAGGTACCCATCCTTGCTAAGGGCCATCCTGCCTGGTAGTGTTATCAACCCTGGGCTCAGGTGATCCAAACTGTAGCCTGACTCCTCCCAGATTTGAGGAGCGGGGAATTAGACAGGGGACAGGGCTCTAGCTGCATAATTATTTCTCTCTGTTCTAGCGAAGCTGCCGGGGAAGACCCAGCCCACAGGGCCTGCCACCTTCTCTCTGGGCCCAGGAGATGGGCTGGGGGGCTCAGGAACCACTGGCCAACTTCTACCTGGTGGAGCTCTCAAATCGCACCATTTTATTGCTAAGAAAATGGCTCTGCCAAAGAACAAAACATTTGGTATCATACTGTGGTCCAGAAACCAAGAAATTCCATATGCTATCCAGGGAGAAATAACTGCAACATCCTCCTCTGGAGCCCATCTTGGTAACATCTAGCCTCATTTAATATGCATGTGCCCTCTGACCCATTAATCCCACTTCCAGGAATTGATCTCACAGAAAAATGCCCAAAGCCATAGCTGTTTCAAAGGACACAAGACTAGAAGTAATGTATGTCTACAAGTAGGGTACTTGTTAGGGACGCCTGGGTGGCTCAGTCGGTTAAGCGTCTGCCTTCAGCTCAGGTCATGATCCCAGGGTCCTGGGATCGAGTGCCTCATCAGGCTCCCTGCTCCATGGGGCGTCTGCTTTTCCCTCTCCTTCTGCCCCTCCCCCAGTTCGGGCTCTCTCTCACTTGCTCTCTCTCTCTCTCTCAAAAAAATTAAATAAAATCTTTAAAAAAAAGTAGGGTACTTGTTAAAAAGAGATGGTACATCCATGGAGAGTGACATTATGCAGTCATTAAAAAGAAATTATAAAGCTCCCCATGTACTACTATGCAGCAATTTCTAAGACATACTGAGTTACGAAAACAAAGCAAGACATAGAATGTTGTGAATTGTATGTTACTGTTTTTGTATAACAGTGGGACACACACACACTCATACATGTGTGTGTATGTAGAGTTCTTTCTGAAAGAAAATACAAATTATTAACAAACCTCTGGAGAAGGAACTGGAAGCTGTTGGGCCACAGCTAAGTGAGAATCTTTGGGATGACCCTCCCTCCCTCCCTCCCTCCCTTCCTTCCCTTTCTCTTTCTCTCTTTTTTTTATCATATGCAATGTGAATTTGTATTTTTTAAAAAGATTTTTATTTATTTGACACAGAGAGAGAGAGCACAAGCAGGGGTAGCTTCAGGCAGAGGCAGAGGGAGAGGCAGGCCCTCTGATGAGCAAGGAGCCCGATGCAGGGCTCGATCCCAGGACCCCGGGATCATGACCCGAGGCAAAGGCAGACGCTTAACGGACTGAGCCACCCAGGCACCCCTGATTACTATTTTTTTTAAATCAGAGAGAGAATAGGCTCCATGCCCAGCACGGAACCCGGAGTGGGGCTCGATCTTATGACCCTGAGATCATGACCTGAGCCGAAATCAAGAGTCAAACGTTTAACTGACTGAGCCACCCAGGTGCCCCTGAATTTGTATTTTTAATGACAGTCAGGAGCCCTGGGCTCTAGTCTCAGCTCTGAGCCCGAACTGTCAACTGCCCCAAGCCATCCTCCCTTCCCCCTCCTGTGAGTACCTGTGCCACCCTGGGAGCCTAGGAGGGAGGGTACAAGAGGTGCGTGAGAGTAGCAGGCAGGGAGAGGGCCCCAGGATGAATGATTTACAGGCCCCTGGGACGCTGGGGCTGAGAGGGAAGTCCAGGCTCCTGCAACAGGTGTCTGATGGGGACCAGCCGCTCCCAACCACCTAATGAATAACCCTCTGGGCCAGATGCCAGTGCAAGGGGGTAGGGGGATGGGAGGGGAGCCCCCTCCGGCTCTTCAGTGATGAGCACAGCAGGGAAAACCCTTGGATAACTCACCCAAAGGACAGGCTTTCTCTTTGCTCTGGCTTTGGGATTCGA